ACACATATTTTTTTTTAAATGTATTGACTAGATTTCATTTTTATTCTACTATATTATTTATTACTGTTACTACTTTTTAAAGTAATCTCCAACTTGGCTAGTAGGAGACCCCTCAAAGACTCCTATGCCTTTGGGGTGTCAGTGACCTTTGGTCAAAAGACATAGCCAGCCTAAGAAGAATACCTAAGGAACTAGCCAGGAAAATAACCCTTCCTTTCTCTCTCTGACTTCCTGCTGGGGTTCAGTCAAAGCTTGACTGAAGTGCCTTGATAGAGTTCATATAGGTCAGTTTTCCAAGTGCAGAGAGCAGTATGGAGAAAGGTAGAGAGCAAATCCAAAGTGACAAACAAGATATCTGGCACATGTATGCACATATAGAGTTATGGATCCTTTGAAATCACTGTTAACCAGAGGTTTGAAACCTCTGTCTTAATCCGTTTAGCCAGTAGAGAGATTGAACCCTAGCAGTGTGTGTGATTTTTTATATCTGACATGAATTTGGGCTTCCCTGGTGGCCCAGACTGTATAGAGTCTGCCTGCAATGCAGAGGGCCCAGGTTTTATCCCTAGTGGAGAAGATCCCCTGGAGAAGGGAATGGCTACCCACTCCAGTATTCTTGGCCTGGGGAATCTCTTGGACAGAGGAACCTGGGGGGCTACATCCATTGGGTCGCAAAGAGTTGGATGTGATTGAGCTACTAACACTATATGAATGTTACTTTCTACTCTTGATTTTTCTCTTAAATAAATTTGTGAGCTCTTAATCTCAGTTTCAGTATTTCTCAACAGTGCTCCTCTTTTAAAATATAAGACCAACTAGTCTTGATCCTCAGAGTCCTCTATAAATAGCTCCATAGCTCTTTCTATTTAAGAGACTAAGATCCAAAATTATTTCAGATACTTCAGCCTCCATTCTGTTGCTAGTATCTGTAAGGAAGAAATGATGTCTGTTAACTTTTTTCTTCTGATCACTGATTTATTTTAGTATTTTATGAGATAGTTTCTTCTCAAACATTGTATTTCAAATTGGACATTTACTGAGTAATAATAAAAAAGGGTTTATGGCCCCAAATACTTGTGAATTGAAGTTAACTACAGGACTTCTCAGAAGATCAGAACCATTGTATAGTTATAGCATCTTTGTATTTTTTTTTAGTATGTTTTTTAGCCGAAAGCAAAATATATTGCACAATTCAAATTATATACATTTCGGTAGATTTCTATTCATTTCCTCTCTAAATTTCACCTTATATCTGTATTATCAATGTCTTCTTGCTGAGTGCCTCATGTTTCCTTTTGTTTGATAATATATCCCCTCTGTAACATCAGATAAGCTCGTTTTTATTTTGTTTTTTAAATGTAATATCCATTTCACTACTTTTTAGGGTTTGTCTCATAGATCACACTTTCGCAGCTAAGCCTTAGGACTTGCCCTTGTTGTTGTTGCTTAGTTGCTAAGTCGTGCCCCTACTTTTTCCCTAATATTATAATGGGAGCAAAGTGGTATTTACACAACCTAGTTAACTTTACAAATAATATTCTATTACTGTTACTCCTCTTAGATCTTTTTTGAATTAACTGAGCTTTAGTTATGGTGGTGGTGGTGGTGGTTTGGTCGCTCAGTCGTGTCTAACTCCTGCGACTCCATGGACTGTAGCCTGCCGGCCTCCTCTGTCCATGGAATTTTCCAGACAAGAATACTGGAATGGGTTGCCATTTCCTTCGCCAGGGGATCTTCCTGACCCAGGAATCGAACCGAGGCCTCCTGCACTGCAGTCAGAGAGCGAGCAAGCGAGCGCTGGACGGGGAGCGGGGGAGAAGATGGGGAAGTCCCAAGGTTCGGAGGGCGGGCAGAGGCGTCTGGCGACCAGGCACCGGGTCCAGAGCAGTGGACGACCGACGGCCAGCCAGGCAGACCGGTCCAGGGCCTTCTCCCGTCGAGGAGCCATGCACCTCCATGCCGTGCAGTCTGCGAGACGCTCCAGAGGCTCCGCGCTGTGCTGCCGCTAACCCGGGGCAGTTGTGGCCGGCGCCAGAGGCGAAGGCGCATTGGGGGCGGGGAGAGGGAGCTCGGTCACCCAGAACCCTCGGACCCACTCTCCAGTGATGTGGCGGGGAGGTCGGGCGGAAGAGAGACGCCAGAGACGACGCCGCGGGGCGCGGGACTGGGTGGGTCACCCTGGCGACTGAGCGGGTGGTGGGTGGAGTGCCCGGCGGGGATGGAGGCGTGGAGGGGCCGACGGGGCAGGGGCAGGCAAGGAGCCACCTTCGCACCGGCCCTCTTTTTACGCTGCTCCCCACTTTCTCGCTCTCCTTTTTCCTTACACTGGAAAGACCACCGGACAGACCGCCAGCCGGCCTCCTGGGCGGCCGCCGCCTCCCGCATTCCTGTGCGGACAAAAGTCTCCCTCCTTTCCATCCCTACCCTCGCTTTAGTTATGAAGTGTTTTTAAGTATCACTGTTTATTAACTTACTAAATTCTAAAAAATCATTAGTTTTTAAAATATGTCAGTTATTACTGTAAGCCAGGTTCCTAAGATGGAATAGTTCATGTTACTTAAAAAATTTAACAAGAACACTTTTTCATATGTTACTGATAGTTTCTTCTTTCAGTGTCTCCTTGTTGACCAAAATCTCAGTGTTCTGATCATTTTGAACCTTAATACCATTTTATTATACTAAAGATGTGGAAAATATAGGAGATTTGTGTTCAATATATATTCATTAATTCAGTCAAGCCCCATGGATTCAAAGATGAATAGTGCACAGTCATGGCCCACCGACATATAAGCAAATATAGTATGTAATAAAATATATAATAAGAGAAAGATACAAATAATATAGTGCAGTATTATAATCAGTGTTTGCTGAAATTAGGTAAGTGATACAAAGCATAGGTAACATTTGTTGGGGTGGCCCAGTGAAGACTTGTTAGGGGAGACGACATAATCTATGTTTAGGAAGTAGTGAAGTCGCTCAGTCGTGTCCGACTCTTTGCATCCCTGTGGACTATAGCCTATCAGGCTCCTCTGTCCATGGGATTCTCCAGGCAAGAATACTGGAGTGGGTTGCCATTTCCTTCTCGGGGATCTTCCCGACCCAGGAATCGAACCTGGGTCTCCTGAATTGGAGGCAGACGCTTTAACCTCTGAGCCACCAGGGAAGATATAATCTATGTTTAATAGGTGACTAAACACTAATAAGTAATAAAACACTGATAAATAATAGTCCTGTCCTGTGGGTTCTAAAATCCTATTATTGCAACTTCCCTGGAGGTCCAGTGGTTAGGACTTTGTGCTTTCCCTGCCTAGGGCTTGGGCTCACTCCCTGGTCAGGGAACTAAGATCCTGCAAATTGCATGGTGCATCCAAAAGGGGAAAAAAAAAATCTATTTTATTTAAACATAAGATAGGCAGAAACTTAGACATTTGGAAATGGAACTTAATTATATAAGGTTATATAGTACATGCTAATCGCCAAGCAAATGACACAGTAACTAACATTTATTGATCTATTTCACTACACACTCTTCATATCTGATTACAAGTAATCCTGACTTAACTCTCTGAGATAGTGATAGTAAGGCCATTTTACAGGTAAAGGCACTTGAGATTTACATAGGTAGAATAACCTGAACGTCACACAGCTAAAATGTGGTGGAGCCAGGGTATCTGCTTTGACAGATCAACTTTAGAGACAGTATTCTTAATCATTGAAAATGAACAATGGGAACCCAAATGAGAAGCAACAACTTGCCTATTGAGAGCATTAAGTGTTCGGTGGGCAGTTTAAGTAAACAGGAGTATGGTTGAGCAGTCAGTTTCTGTAGGAGCATCAAGGAAGATCAGGTTGGAATCTGAAGATGGGATGGAAGCTATTTGAAAAAGGATCCTGAAAGTGAGTAATATGCAATAGAAAACTATAGAAGTTATGAGAGCAAGGGAGAAATATGGGAGTCAGTGTAACATAATGGTTAGGTTCTTGAGTTTCTAGTTTTGTGATGTTTAGCATGTAAGCTGACTACACTTAGGTTCTTATCTATAAAATGATAATAGTAATAATATCTGTCTCACAGAGATTAATTTGTAAAGCCTGACATATACCAAGCATTGAGCAAATGTTACATGTTATTATTGTTGATGTGTTTTAGTAAATTTAATCTGATAACAGTGCCTAGAAGTCTAGGCCTAAGCATTAGGCCATTAGTTCAGAAATGCTTGAAACATAGCTGTAGCAGGTAAATACTGAAGGGACAAATACTAGGAATATTTTAGATGAATAATATCAGTATGTCAAGTATATATGGCTTTTTAAAATATATATGGTTCTTAACGGTGTTTCATAATCATGTGTTCATTGTTATAGTAGCAATTAATAACTGACAACTGAATGTAACTACAATTTACAAAGCCACTAGGACATGTTAATTGAATTTGATTCTTGAACCATTTTGTGAGATACTGTTATTTCCATTTTATTAAGGCCCATAGAGATGAAGTAATTCATTGAAGATCACACAAGTTAATAAAGGAAGTAATTTAAAACTTTCCTTTTCATACATTTATTCTAGTTTTTTCCTCTTTATAACCCTGTTAGGTTATGACAAGAACTGATGTTCTATCACTGGCAATAGTATGAAGAACTATTATTAATACTTGAAAGAGTTAGTATCTTTTCTTAAGTATCGGCTTTGATATCAAGGAATAACCAGGGCATGAAAGGGGAGAGACAAGTTCAGAGTCTTCTAGTTATCTAATTTATATTTAAACCCAGTAATATTTGAATATAATCTGTTTAGTAGATCAGAATATTAAATGGCTATGATTTACCTTTAAAAAAAATCTGTATTGCAAAAATGAAAGTAAACTTTTGATTTTCTGCACAAATTATATTAGGCATTTACTACCCTTTGGATAATTGTAAAATATTTTACAGTAGAGTTATCTCTTAAATATTTTTAAATAGTATTGATCATGAAACTTTTTGAAATTTACCATCAGGCCAATGGTGGCAGAGTCTACATAGAACTATGCTTCGTGGTGTTCTGGGAAAAACCTTTCGACTTGTTGGCTATACTATTCAGTATGGCTGCATAGCTCATTGTGCTTTTGAATACGTTGGTGGTGTTCTCATGGTAAGTGCTCACATTCAAGAAAATAATCATATAAAATATGTTATTTTTTTTAATTGAAGGAAGAGTGTTTGTTTGCATTGGCAATGATGTAAAACAGAACTGTAACTTTAAATGTGGTCCTGTATTGTTTCTTTCAGGGGCACAAAGGCCCCTGTTAATCTAATGAAATATTAGTTTTTCCCATTATTGAATACTACTTACTGTGTTCCAGGATGTGTTTGATATTTTATGTTTATTAACTTATTTAATCTTTTACACTCTGTGAGATACATATTATTGTTGTTTAGTTGCTAAGCTGTGTACAACTCTTTTGCAACCCCATGGACTGTAGCCCACCAGGCTCCTCCATCCATGGGATTTCCCAGGCAGGAATACTAGAGTGGGTTGCCAGTTCCTTGTTCAGAGGATCTTCCTGACCCAGGGACTGAATCCGCATCTCCTGAGTTGCAAGCAGATTTTTTCCCACTGAGCCATCAGGGAAGCCTCTGAACTACTCACTAGAAGTTTCCCAGTCCTCTGGACATGAGGGAGCTGAGGCTCAGAAAGCTCACGTGACTTGTACAAGTCCCACAACTCCAAGCAGACTGGGAATTTCAGCACAGAGTTCTCTCATTTTCAAAAATCCTACTTTTTAACTACTGCGAAGAGTGTCAATAACTGTTACTAAAACAAATGATTTATTCTGCCTTGTGTCAAAATTAAAATGTTAAGGCTGTCCTTTTCCCAATGTATTTTCTTAATATTGCATCATAAATCTACCAACCATGACAGTACTCACCTTTTGTCATATAAATGAAATAATAATTTGGTTGATTGTTCAGTCAGTGAGTTTTGCTATTGGTGTTGCTGTGTTTACAGGTCTACCCTAAAGAGATTTATAGTCGTATAATCTCAAGTTGGAATAATTCTAATAACTGTATTTAGGCAAATAAATATATCTAACTGAAATTCCCCTTTGATTTTTTTTTTTAATCTATACTGGTGCCTCCAGTAGACTACAGAGACAGAAACAGCAAAAAACTTTCATTGTGGTCTTTTTTTCTGCCTGAGTAGGAAGTTTTGAGTAAAAAGTTTTATTTACATACAACTGAATTGGATGAAAACTGTTGTATGTAGATTTTTTAGATTACAATGATAATATACTACAGTTTTGAGGTATCAGTTCAGTTCAGTCACTCAGTCGTGTCCAATTCTTTGCAGCCGCATGGACTGCAGCATGCCAGGCTTCTCTGTCCATCACCAACTCCCTGTCCATGTGTACCTCATACCTGTTTTGAGGTATATATGAAGATTATTGTTAAGACACACTAATATGAAAGTTTTTAAAGTGCATCTCATTATGCCAGTATTTTTCAGTAGAAAATGTAACTTGCAGCCCCCCAAAATGAATAAGCTATTCTCTTAAAGAGAATGAAAGACACCAGTTAGTTGAAAATAGTATGATACCACTTGCTAAATTACTGTCATTTGCTTCTGGATGATATTTGGCCATAGCAAGAAGAAAAACATCATTCATTTGTTCATTCAACAAGTATGTGTTGAGTATCAACTTTATGCTAAGCACTGTTCGTGATCTTGTTTAGCAATTGGGAACTTAAGAGACAAAGTCACTGCTCTCAAAGCACTTATATTTTACAAGATGGCCAAAATTTGGACCCAGAGGTAATGTTATTCATTTTTTATAATATAATATTAATAAACCATTTAAAATATATTTTGCCTGTGTTCCAGATTTGCTGCCTTCTCTATAGAGTTGAACTTCTCTTGGAGCTACCAGCTTTTTATAAATCATCCTCCAAGTTTAAAGAACATTTGCTTGATTTTTTTTAAGCCTGATCAGATATTTATATTTTAAAAGGTTTTCAAGTTAAATGTAAAAATTACCTTTCTTTCAGTGTTCTGGACCATCCATGGAGCCTACAATTCAAAATTCAGATATTGTCTTTGCAGAAAATCTTAGTCGACATTTTTATGGTATCCAAAGGTAAATTTCTGTCACAAATATATTAAATTCATGGCGAAAACACACATACATATTGTGTCCTTTCTGCAGTTTCTTAACATTAGCTTTAAAAACTCTTCTGTAAATAACCAAATTAATGACCGACTGGATAAAATTTTGACTCAAATTTTTTCTTTCATTGTGAGAAATTTTAATAATTTTCTGAATATTCAGTCTCTTGGATCGTTCGAGTGGAGAACTAGAGACTTAGGAGCCAGTTACATATTCAAATCTTAATGATTTGATTTTTTAATTTTCAAAATAATCCTGCATTTCTGTTTTTGACCGTCTTATTCTCTATAGTCTGTGATGAGCAGTTGATGACTTTTAGACTGTATAGCACTGTATATAGCTGGGACCCAGGAATCCTGTCTATTATGAGTTTTCTGATTAATTATATTAAGTTACAAAATTCCTCGGCAAATATTATTTGCCACTAAATCTTTTAAAATCCTCTTCTAAATGGTGTTTCCAGTCCTTAAGATATTATTTATTCTACTTAACTCCTGGAGTGTTATTCTTCTGAATTGATGTCAAGTATTAGTCATTTAATATATTTTCCAAAGGGAACCTCTTTGATTCCCTAAAATTTGGAGTCCATTAGTTTTTCATAATTCTTAAAAAATAAATCTGTATTACATTTCATCTTCAGAAAATATAAATTTTACTCATTTGAGCTGTTATATATCTTACGGCATAAGTAGGTTTAGGTATTCCTCTTTCATTATTGACCTTTTCTATAGTGTATTTCACATTACTGGAAAATCACCAAGAACAGTGTAAAACTGTTTTTTGCATTTACTGATCTTCCACCACCTTAGCTTCTATAGATAGAAACCCTTTCTTCCTCAAGCATTATGGTCTAGCTGGGCCTTAGGTAATTCTTCAGATCTTTTCTCCCCAACAACTTCAGGATGCCTAATTGATAGATATGGGGGTAAAAAAATAAAGTTTATATAACAGGTTATATTCCAGCTTCCTTTTCTTTTTACCTTATATCGAAATAACTTAGTACAGTCTTTGGATTAACTGAAGACCTAGGTTCACTACAACTTGAAGACAAGCAAATGTTTTCAATGCTAATCACATGATTCACTCTAGTCTTTAAGCATCCTTAACAAGAAGCTGGATTCATTGGCTAAATAGTTTCTGAATGAATACTTCAATATTGTCTTTTTTTGGAGGGGATACTCTTTGCAGTCAGATGGATAATATAAATAATTATTTTTAGTAAATAAGTTGTTTGAAAGTTTCATTTTGTATTCTGTTCATTCAGGGAACCCATTGGCTGGAAAGACAGCTCAAAATTTGGCATTTATGTGAGACATACCAAAGTAACTTTTACAACCAAGGTAGTCAGTTGGTAACTCTACTTTAAAAACATTACTATCCTGAATATTTTTTTCGTTAATCTGCAGCACAGAACTCTGAGATTTCAGGCACATCTTTTACACCTGACAAGAGATACTCTTGCTAGCTGCCTGTTTCTAAAGACAGAATAGTCATTCATTTAGGGACGATAAAAGCCTGCATATCTGGTATCTAAAGCACATGGATTTTTCAGTCCAGTGGACAGAACTCTCATGCCTGAGACAGTCATCCCTTATTACTGCTCACTCTTTGAACAGTCAGTGAGCACCTCATTTATAAGATGTGCTCTACTCTATAGAGAATATTGGGTTGAGTAAGAGGTTGATCCTTCATCTCAAAAGCTTATAATCTACTAGAATAATAAGGATGATTATAAATTATATAGGAAAATTTGAATCTTAGTTCTGTTTATTTTAAAATGCTATTTGAAAGAGTGGAGAGTTCTAGGTAATCTTTTTTGATCTAAGTTCTGTGCCTATAATATCTGGTTAGACCACTGCAAGTACAGTCTACAGTAATGATGCTTTCTATAAAAAAAACTTTGACTAAATTATGATTTTTTTATGTTGCCATTCAAGTGCAGTTTGTTATGAGGGTCATATTGATTATTTTGTTGACAAACTTAAGCTGAATAAGACTCTCACATAGAACATTTCTCTCCCCAAAGCTAGCCATAATCAACTTTGATAGTATGTTACATATGTTACAATATTTGCAAATTTCTTCATCTGAACAGTTCTGCTGCCATAGTTCCAGTTGGTTGGAAAGAGATGCTTTATCCCGTTTTCAAACAAGTGTAAGCCTTATATTGCACTCCAAATTACAGAGTTTAGTGTTTTAATAGCATACAGCTCTTATTAAGAATAGCCTCAAGAAATGACTATTCTGAATACTGTTGTAATTTCTGTAAAATTTCTGATGAAGATGCTATCTTTACTTTCCTTACATACATATCTTTTCCTCTTTGATTTAGTTGTTAAGAAAAATTTTGTCATACTTTTCAAACTAAACCTTATTTTATTAGTTAATGATTGGCAGATAATAATCATAATTTCTTTTTTAACTTGACTACCAAAAAGTTTCAAACTCATTATAATACTTATATATAGCAATAACTAGGTTTCTAATTTAACCATCATCCTTTATTTTTATGACTTTTGATTTTGATATATGTATCTTTTATCATAAGCAGCATCAAATTATTTTAAGAACCTGGTACAGACAATAAGTAAATATATTAAATCCCTTCGAGTGTGAGCAACAGAATTCACTTATTGCTCATTTCATGCAGAAAGAGTGTTGTATTCTTTTTGGTTGGGACATTAGTCCTATATTTTTGTCTCCTTCCTTTCCAATTTTAAGTATCTTACTTAGTCTTCTAATACATGCAAATTGTTATTTATTCCATGAATCATCTCTTCCATATGTAACCCTATCCATATTGGTTTTATATGTATGATATGCCAGTTTATTTTTTGTATCATATGTTTGGACAGCTTTTAGTATTTTTTCTGGCTAAGTCTTCTGATAATTTTTCTTCAAATATAAGTCTTTTTGACTGTACTGTGAACTGTCTAGGTTTATATAATTTACATGCTGCAATTTCTCAGTTCTTTAAGCTCTAGGGAAACATAGATGATGTCTCTACCTTTATATGTGCTGTAGAGTCAGTCAATGTTACAGGCAGGGCAGTAAAATTTGCTTGGTTAATCTGGTGATATTTACATGGATTGTTTTTTATAGTTTTGGTTCTAAAAATTTAGACACAAAAGTAACACACTAAGTACAGTGCAAGAAGGTAATTCTTGTGGAATTGTCAAAAATTTTAGAATCTTCTAATAGTTTTTCCATCACTCTCATTTTTGGATTCTGACCCATAAAGTTAGTCTTGAAGGTTCTCAAAGCTGGTAAATGTATGGGAGGGTTAGTATGTGAGAGGATAAAGGGTGTGGCTTTAAGTTGCTTTATAAAAGTGTTGTAGCAGTGCCATGCATGTGTTTATGCTTAATAATAACACTGACTTTCTTTGACTTTTTCCCCTCAGAGGTGACATTGTGGTTGCAAAAAGCCCGAGTGATCCAAAATCAAATATTTGTAAAAGAGTAATTGGTTTGGAAGGAGACAAAATTCTCACCAGTAGTCCAGCAGGTTTCTTTAGAAGCCATAGTTATGTAAGTAACATTTCAATCATGTTATTCATTGGTATCACAGTTGATTAACTGAACACACTGACAAATGAAAATAACGTTTATTTGTGTTTGAATATAAGTTAAAATGATGCATTCAGTAGAATATGTAAGTGTATGTATCACAAACAACATGGCCGTTATAATTTATACATTTTATTTTCTTTGAAAGCCCCATTCAAACATCTCAGTGTTAGTTGTTGAAGGCAGGATTCGCCAGTGGTGTCAAAATATTGGGCAAAGTTTTGAGGGAAAATAGTAGATTTGCATAGTCTCAAAGTATCTCTCCCAGGGTTTTTTCCAAAGGGAGAAATAGTAACTTTGTGGAGGAGAAACCTGGCAGACACTACCTTAACTGAGTGATCAAGGTTAACTTCACCAATAATACAACATGTCAACATAATGTAGGCCCTCAATTGAAGCACCGAGAAGGGCACATCACTTTTGTGGTATTCTTGTAACAAGAAGTTATAGCCTCAGTCTAATCATAAGAGAACAACAGACAAACCGTAATTGAGGGTCATCCTGCAACATAACTGACCAGTACTCTTCAAAAATGTCAAACTCTTTAAAAAAGGAAAGTCAGGGATTGTCATAGATTGGGGGAGACGAAGGAGATGTGACAACTAAATGCAATCTTGAATTCTGGCGTAGTTTTTCCACTGGCTTGTTAATGACAAATCTGGTAAAATCAAATGTAGTCTTATAGTTTAGTTTTTTTTTTTTAATCCTATTTAAATGTTCAGAATAGATATTTTGTATACCTTTGGTGTAGTCAGCTTACCAACCTAGTTAGGAAGAGTGGAAGAGTGAAGAGCAGATGAGATGTGTCCGCCGCCTCCACCATCACCTGACTGCCGAGACAGAGCTTGTGGCTGGGGTGGGGCAGGGCAGGGAGGGCCTTCTGTTACTCAGCATATGCTGTTCTTTCTTTAATTATAAATTTATTTTCTACTTTTGTTTAAATTTTCTGTGTCACTATCAGTTTATTAATAGAACTGTTGTATCTATCAAATAACTTTATCTTCATCCCCAATGTAAACATATAATCAGGAGTTGAATTGTCTTCCTCATTGTAGATTTATTTTTACCTGTAATAGCCTCTGTTTCCCTATTAAGTAAGTTTGATCAATAGACTATTAAATAATCAATTTATTGTTTATTTACCTTCCTTAATAGACTATGGTTCAGCTGTGCAAATGTTTATTACACTTTTGATGTTTGTTACTACAGTGCTAAACATCCTAGGAATCAATAGCTGATGGTGATCCTAATGTTAAAGTTGAGAATGTAGTATCAGGTAACATATCAGTATTTTTCTATGGTCTTCATCATGGATACTTATCCTTTTGTTTTTCAAATATGTTAGTTATTTACATAATTATTTCACCATCACATGACTGTTATCATTTCATGAGGCAGTCTAGTTCACTTCTAAGTTGCTTTAGCAACAAGCATATACTTGAGGCCAGAATTCAGTTCAGTTCAGTTCAGTCGCTCAGTCCCGTCCAACTGTTTGCAACCCCATGGACTGCAGCATGCCAGGCTTCCCTGTCCATCACCAACTCCTGAAGCTTGCTCAAACTTATATCCATTGAGTCAGTGATGCCATCCAGCCATCTTATCCTCTGTCATCCCCTTCTCCTCCTGCCTTCAATCTTTCCCAGCATCTGAGACCAGAATTATCAACAGACAAATGACAAAACATATAAATGATAACAAAACATATAAAGTTCTGAGTACTTGTGTGTAATTGTACTTTGCACAGTGTGCACACCACTGTTGTTTTCTTCTGAATTATTAGAAGAGGAATGTTAGGATGAAAGGATTTAGATAAAATCTCTGCTAAGTAATCAGAAAAAATAACCAGGGTATTATAAGATGTATTTTTTATATATGTATAAATATTCTATTCAAGGAAAACATCCTTTGGATTTTTATGTTTGATGAGAGGATAAGTTAGGGGATACTGCTCTTTTGTTCCAGATGTATTCAGTTGACTTTGGTGTGCATGTTATAAATGTTCAAACAATTGTAATAATTTTGGTCAACACTTACCCTGTATTTACTTTGTACCAGAATAAGTACAGGGTAAGTGTTAAAACTCTTTCAAGGATTAGTTTATTTAATCATCACGACAGTAACCCAGTAAAGGTAGTTGGTAGTAGCATTTAACATATGGGAAAACTGAAACACAGGGAGGTTAAATAAATTGCTCAAACAGTTAGTAAGAGAAACGGTTGGAATTCAAACACAGATAGCCTGGCTCTATTCAAAAATTTTTATTTTTTACTATGCCAGTACTACTTCTCCCAAAGTATCCTGCACTTCCTATTCTTATTTTTGCTTCTGTCTCCTCAAATTGTACTTCCCTTACAATGTATTTGTCTTAAACATTTTAAAAAAGAAAGGCAGCTATTTCTGATCAGGGCTAGTATTAGTTCTAAAAGACAAGCCAGTGATTTTTGAAGGCTTCCCACCTCCACCAGTTTTTCTAGGCTGTTTTTTAAACCATGAGAATTGTGTAGCTATTACTGAACTACTTTAGCAGATGTGTTCCATTAATCAAGGTGATTTATAACAAAAATTCATCCAAGTTTGGAGCACTCTGAAGAGATATCCAAACTGTTTGCAATCTGCCCCTCTAGAGTGTTCCCTTTTCCAGCTATCTCAGAAGCAGACTGGTGCTGTATTTTATGAAAGGGGTTTCTTTCCCATATCTGTGCACCCTTTCAGAAAAATATTTGTTGTTTATAAGTTATGAAGACAGTACTATTCAGATCTTGATTGAGCTGCATAAGGATGATGTATATGAAATGTTTTTAATTTCAGGCAAAAAAAACACAAAAACCATTCTTTTAAGTAGGTGCTTCAGAAAGCAAAACACCAAAATTTTCATTTGGAACCTAAAATACGAAGTTTAGCATATGAAAGAATTAGCATTATTTTTAAGTTGGAGAAAAAGAACATAAACAGTTAAGTGATGTGAAGCCATCTTACTCATTCCAGAGTTCCAAAAGTCCATATGGTAAGCATTAAAGATGATTTATTTTTTACATTAAGCATTTGGAAACTAAGCAGTCCCTATCAAGGTGTTACTGCAGTGGTTTTGCTTTTTTTCCTGATATTGAGGCTAGTAATTTTTTCCCTTGAGTTATGGGCTGAGCATTGGTACTAGGAAATGAGTTAATTTGTGACTCTCAAAAGAAACAAATTTTACTCAGCTCAAAAATCTTGAATAACTTGCCTTTCTATACTATAGGAATTCCTCAGTTAGCTGCTAGAAGCCTCTAATTTGCCAAAAATTATTTAATTGGAAGAAGCATTTAGCAGGTAGGAAATACGTTAAATGAACTAGCATTCTTCTGTTGATCAGCACAGCAGGTGATTTAACATAGACTCCACTCCCCTAAGGGATATAGAGCCAAGACTCAGGAAATATGGTAAAATTTTGTTATAAAGCTAATAAAGAAACAAAGAAAAACACTTTATACTCTTTCTCAGGATAACATTGTGTGATAGTTCAAAGCTGTGATTTTAATTCATAGTGTAACTGTGTTACAGTTAGGCATTTTGAAATACAGTAAGTTCATATCAGCAAACAATCATGCTATAAAACCGCCCATCCAAACAAACAGACCTTTTGGGCACCATATCCTGCTTTAGGAAAGAGTTGTGCATACTTACCGACTCCCCTGTGAACTTTATGTTCTCTTTTGAACTCATTCCACTTAGACTTTGATCCCTGGGAATTCACTGGAACAGTTCTCATGAATGTTCTGTTGATCCAGTGGTCAACTTTCAGTCCTCCTTTCACTTGAATTCACTTGTATTTAAAGTAGTTGTTCATAAGGCCTGGTTTTCTCTTAGTTTGAGGAATACCACTGTCTTTAGGTTTTCTACTTTTTCTGCTTCTTCCGAGTGTCCTTTGTTGATTCCTCCAAATAACTAAGTAACTAAGTAATTTAGGGTTACTTACTGGGTTTACTAAGTAAAAAAGTAACTAAGGGTTTGTATTTTAAACTTATTTTGTTTATATATGCAAATTGTAAGGTGACCTAATCCTGTCTTGAAGTTTTAAATACTGTCTAATTTTAAAGTCCTAAATTTATATCAACCACAAACTTCTTTCCTGAACTCCAGAATCATGTATCTAATAATCTAATATTTTCCTCTTGAACTTAGTATGTCCAGAACTAAACTCCTGATTTTCCTTCCACAAGTGAATCCTCCTACACATATTCCCAATCACTGAAAGGTGACTCCATTTTTCTGCTCACTCAAGTCATAAACCTTGGAGTCATCCTTGCTTCTCTTCCTCTTTAACCCTCTCATCCAATATATTAGCAAATCATGGTGATTATATATTGGTTCAAAATTGGGAAAGGAGTATGTCAAGGCTGTATATTGTCAACCTGCTTACTTAACTTATATGCAGAGTACATCATGAGAAATGCTGGACTGGATGAAGCACAGCTGGAATCAAGATTGCTGGGAGAAATATCAATAACCTCAGATATGCAGATGGCACCACCCTTATGGCAGAAAGCAAAGAAGAACTAAAGAGCCTCTTGATGAAAGAGGAGAGTGAAAAGCTGGCTTAAAACTCAACATTCAAAATGGTATCCAGTCCCATCACTTCATGGCAAATAGATGGGGAAACAGTGGAAACAGTGAAAGACTTTATTTTTGTGGGCTCCAAAATCACTGCAGATGGTGACTAGAGCCTTGAAATTAAGAGACACTTACTCCTTGGAAGAAAAACCATGACCAACCTAGACAGCATATTAAAAAGCAGAGCCATTATTTTACCAACAAAGGTCTGTATAGTCAAAGCTATGGTTTTTCCAGTAGTCATGTATGGATGTGAGAGTTGGGCTATAAAGAAAGCCAAGGACTGAAGAATTGGTGCTTTTGAACTGTGGTGTTGGAAAAAACTCTTGAGAGTCCCTTGGACTGCAAGGAGATCCAACCAGTCCATCCTA